GGGGCGAGGAGGGGGCACCACCGAACAGAGCTGGAGAAGGGTAGGAAGGATCGGGCAGGGAGCCGGGAGGGTTCGGATCCTGCCGGTGCACCTGTGGGGGCGTGCGGTGATGGTGAATATTTTAATCTAAATCAAACAATAGGACCAGAGCCGCTTCAAGGATTTTGCAAAATGCACTTGGTAGGAGGTGGGGAAGGACTGGCGGGAGTGAAATAATACCCCCGAAAATCTCTGTGTACAGTTCCACCCCCACCTCCCAATCCCCCTCTGGCCTGAGCAGCCCTCGGGGGTCTCCCCGAGGAACATTACCCCCGCCACCCCTCCTCCAGGGTCCCAGCCCCGGGAGGGCTGGCCAGTGATGGAGGGCGCGGTTGGGGGGGCAGATCGCGGGTTGGGGGGGATGAGAGAGAAACAGATCGGGGCGGGGGGTGACAGCGACGGCGCCAGGGGTGGCCCCGGCGTGGGAGATGGTGCGGGGGACAGGCTGGCAGTGACCGGCGCTTGCGATGCAGCCTAGGCTTCACTTACCGGGAGCCGTCCCGATTCCACCCGTGAGCGGCCCGAGCCCACGCGTGCCCCAGCCGCGCCGCTGCTTCCACCCGCCCGCCCCTGCCCGCGCCTCTCCCTGACCGGCGACCCCACGAGCGCGGCTCGTCCCGCGTGGGTCCCGCTGCGCTCCCAGGGACCAAATCTCCTTTCCCCAGCCCGAGAAACCCCTCCAGCCCTGCCGCCTCCTGCCTCCTCCGGTCTCCCGGTCGCCCCTGGATCCTGCCTCCCACGCGGGTCCCCGCGGGGAGCGGGGTGGGGGGAGCGGTTGGGGCCGGCGATTCCCTTCCCACCGGGTACAGGGGAGGCAGAGACAAAGGCGGTGAAATATCAGTGCCCGGCTAAAGCCGCTCCGAGCCCCGCCGAGCCCTTAACTAGATCGTTAGGGGATTATCCGCACCCTGAGCAGACGCGGGGCGGGGGCAGCGGCCGCCCCGTCCCGTTACCGAGCGCCCCCGGGGACGGCGCCGGTGGGAGGGGACGCGCGGAGCTGCCCGGGCGAGGCGGCGGCTGGAGACGGGTCTGCGGGGAGAACGGATCGGCCAGCGGAGGGACCGTGAGCGGTACCGGGGCGGGGAGGGCACGGGGGGGCGCGGGGGGCACCGTCTGTCGCACTCCGGGGGACCCGCGGCTCGCTCCGCTCCCGCCTCCCCCTCGCCTTCCGCGGGGGGCGGAAAGTTTGTGCCCGGGGTGGGGGGACCGCTGGGGGTCTGGGGGGGCAAGTCCTGGGGTCGCCGGCGGGATCGTGCCCCGAGAGCCCGATGGGGCTGACACTGGCGTAGCCGGTGGGGGAGCAGGATTAGGGGCGCGGGGCTGTGGGCAAGCGGGGTGTCGGGGGTGGGAGCAGGCAGGGAAGGGGGGGGGTCTCTGTGCCTCCGCGCTGATGGGCTCAGCTTTATCCAGGGCTGTAATCCCCCCTGCTCCGGTAATTAAAAACTCCGCATTACAAGGAAAACGGTGTGCAGGGAAATGTAATCAAGTCTGGAGGGGCTTAACCATCTGGTAAAGGTTAGGACCGGCACGGCGGGGGACGTGGCCGGGGGATTTGGCAGCCGCCGCGATCCGGGCTCCTCTTAATCTACCGCGGGGACGAGCACAGCATCTGTGGGGTAATACCGGTGCCCCGGGCAGCGATCGGTCTCTCCTGAGCTCCCACCGCCGTTAGCGGGATCTCCTCGGAGCTGGTCTCCTCCCCAGGTGTGTCCGGCTCCGGTAAACAGGTTCTGCTGTGGCACCGGCACCCGGATTGCAGCCCTTCGCCGGGGCCAGCGGGGAAAGGGTTAAGTGGCCGCTGGTGGCCGCGGCTCGGCCCCCCAGCTCCGGGCAGGGCCCTCCCCCGCCGCCCCCGGGAGCCTGAAACTCTTCGGAAGTGTAAGGGGCGAGCGAAGACGAGGCGGCGGCGCGGGTGCGACTCCGCGTCCCCGGGAGCGCTGCGGGGCCATGGGGGCCGGGGTAGGCTCCGGGCGGGGGCAGCTCTTCCTCCGCTCCCTCCTCTTCCTCCTGCTGGCCGGGCCCCCGGCGGGCGGGCAGCTGCGCTACGCCGTGCCCGAGGAGCTGGAGCACGGAGCCTTCGTGGCCAACCTGGGCGAGGACCTGGGGCTGGACGTGTCCACCCTGTCAGCGCGGCGGTTCCGCATCGTGTCGCGGGCCGGGGTCAGGCAGCACCTGGAGGTGAACCTGGAGAACGGGATCCTCTTCGTGAACGAGCGGATTGACCGGGAGGAGGTGTGCGAGGCCGGGGGGACCTGCCTGCTCCACCTCCAGCTCCTCGTCGAAAGCCCGCTGGAGCTCTACCGCGTCGAGGTGGAGGTGCTGGACATCAACGACCACGCGCCCACCTTCCCCTGGCAAGAGTACGTGCTGGAGGTGGCCGAGTCCGCCGTGCTCGGTGCCCGCTTCCCGCTGGAGAGCGCCCAGGATCCTGACGTGGGCACCAACTCCGTGCACACCTACCGCCTCAGCCCCAACGGCTTCTTCTCCCTCGAGGTGCAGACGCGCAGCGACGCCAGCAAGTTTGCGGAGCTGGTGCTGGAGCGCGCCCTGGACCGGGAGCAGCAGCGCCTGCACCGGGTGCTGCTCACGGCTCTCGACGGCGGCGTCCCCGAGCGCTCGGGCACCGCGCACATCCTCGTCACCGTGCTGGACGCCAACGACAACGTGCCTGCCTTCGACCAGCCCTCGTACGGAGTGAGCCTTCCTGAGGATGCCCCCGCCGGCACGCTGGTCATCCAGCTCAACGCCACGGACCTGGACGAGGGCCCCAACGGGGAGATCGAGTACTCCTTCAGTGGGCACGCGCCGCCACGCGTGCGGGAGCTCTTCCACATAGAGCCCCGCAGCGGGCAGGTGCTGCTGAAGGGCCGCCTGGACTATGAGCGGGCCAGTCTCCACGAGCTCTACGTGCAAGCCAAGGACCGTGGACCCTCAGCCGTGGCCGTTCACTGCCGAGTGCTCGTGCACCTCCTCGACGTCAATGACAACGCGCCAGAGGTGACCCTCACCTCTGTGTCCACACCCGTGCTGGAGGATGCCCCCCCAGGCACCGTCATTGCTGTCATCAGCGTTCTGGACCGGGATTCTGGGGACAACGGGCGCGTGAGCTGTGAGGTTGGCCCCAACGTACCCTTTGAGCTTCGCTCCTCCTTCCGCAACTACTACACGCTGGTCACCATGCAGGCGCTGGACCGGGAGGTTGTGCCCGAGTACAACGTGAGCATCACGGCGCGGGACATGGGCTCGCCCGCCCTGCTGACCCGCAGCACCCTCACCGTCCCGGTGTCCGACGTGAACGACAACGCCCCACGCTTCCTCCAGCCCTCCTACAGCGTCTACGTGATGGAGAACAACGCGCCGGGTGCCTCTATCTGCTCTGTCAGCGCGCTGGACCCTGACTGCCAACAGAACGCCTACCTGTCCTACTCCATTGCCGATGGGCACATCCATGGCATGCCTGTGGGCACCTACGTGTCTATCAACTCGGACAGCGGGCACATGTATGCCCTGCGGTCCTTGGACTATGAGCAGATCCGCAGCTTCCAGATCCAGGTGCAAGCACAGGACGCGGGTTTCCCCCCACTGAGCGCCAACGTCACTGTCCACATCTTCGTGCTGGATCAGAACGACAATGCTCCGGTCATCGTTTCCCCCCTGCCACACAACGGCTCCGTGGCCACCGAGCTGGTGCCGCGATCAGCCAGGCCTGGCTACCTGGTGGGCACAGTGTCGGCGGTGGATGCGGATGCAGGGCTGAACTCTCGCCTCTCCTACCAGCTCCTCCAGGCCACTGACTTCACCCTCTTCAGCGTGGCACCAGACACGGGCGAGCTGCGCACCCTCCGCTCCTTCCTGGAGCAGGACTCAACCCGGCAGCGCCTGGTGGTGCAGGTGCGGGACGGTGGGCAGCCAGCCCTCTCTGCCACCGTGTCCCTCCTGCTTTCTGTGGTGGAGACCATGCCTCAGACTCTCTCCGACTTCAGCGAGTTCAGTCTCCCCCCAGAAGTCTCCTCATCCTCCCCACTCACCCTCTACCTCCTTGTCTCCCTGGGTTCCATCTCCTTCACCTTCCTCCTCGCCATCCTCATCCTCACAGCCATTCGCTGCCGCGGAGAGCGGCGTTCCCGCCAAGGTGACAGCTGCTCCCCGCCCCGCTGCCACTGCTGCCCTGGGTCCAGACCCTCCTCTGATGGCCTGAAGACTTCCAACCTGACGGCACAGCCCCCCGCAGGGACCGCGGCTGCCACCTGCCTTGACGTGCCTGCAGGCGGCCCCCCGGGCTACTGCTACAAGGTCTGCCTTGGTCCTGAGTCTGCTCAGAGCGACTTCATGTTCCTCAAACCCTGCAGCCCCCCACGGAACAACGAGAAGGATCCTGGGAAGCGGTCCCGGCCAGACCAGCATCTCCAGGTCTCCAAGGAGGTAACACCGTGCCCGGCGGTGCTTACTGGTGCTCCGCGGGTCCCCCCAGCCCCCCCCTCAGCCTCTGCCATGGGAGAAACCAGGCACGGCTTCTCCCAGAGAATAACCGGAGCCTTTGATCAGTGCGGGAATTAGGAGCCGTCAGGCAGCGGGAACTCCACCGAGCTTCCCGATGGGTCTAATTACCGGGGGAGCGTCAGGCTCGGCTGAGGCGAGAGGAAATCCCTTCCCACCGCCTTTTGTACCCGTTAGAGGCAACAGAGATGCTCCGGTGCCCTGGGGGAGGTGGGAAGGTGGGGGTGGCTTCTCCTCCGTGTGGGTGAGCAATTCACACTGGGACAGTCTGAGCTCCAGCGCTGCTCTGCTTCCCGCGTGGAAGCTCCGCAGTGTCCCGCTGCTGCACCCGGGGCTGGTCCCTGTCCCGCCGGCACTGCTCCTGTCCCAGGCCTGGCCGCTGTTCCGGGCTGTGCCAGCGGGCAGGGAGGGAGTGGGGGTCTTAGGGGTGGGATTTTGATGTCAACATTTGTTAGGTATTGAAATGAGGAATGTCTAATTTTCCCGGTGAAAGACTCTTTCCGAAACACGATTACAAGGATGGAGAGTGATGAGGCGTCTAATCCACTTATGTTTGAGTTTTAATAAACCAGCCCTTCCGAGGAGAGCCCAAGACTCTCTGCCAAGAGTTTCTCTCCACATGTCTCCTTGCACTGCTGGACTGTCTTCCTTTAATGGGATTTTCCCCTAGTTTTTGCAATCCTCCTGGGACATCAGACGTGCAGCCAATTTCTGCACCTCTCACCATTTGGTGCCTCAGACCTGGGCTAAGTCACCATTGCACCTGCAAAACAGGGCTTTTAAAGATTAACAGGAGTAGGAAAATGCCCTGTCCCTCCCCAGAAGGACAGACTTAAACCTCACACAGTCAAAGAGCAAGCCTCAAACAACCCTGATGTCTCAGGAGGTCCAGAAGGGAAAAGGCTGGTTCAACACTGCCTCAGTTTCCCAAAAATAGGAAAGTACTGCTTGGATCTCCACAAAGGGCATGGGGAAAGAGGAGATGGGGTCCTGCATCCCTGGTCTGACTGACAGAGGGGCCCAGGGCTGACTGACAGAGTCCCAGTAACCAGCCTTGCCCTTCCCTGTGTTTTCCAGGTCAAGCAGCCCAACACAGACTGGCTGCCTCCAAGCACTCAGCGACCTACCCTGAAAAGGTACCAAATCCAGCACTGTGGGAAAAGAGGGAGCAGGTGGAAGGGGGATGTGGGGATAGGGAGGTTGTCTCCAACACAACTTTGAACAAATCTCTTCTCTTTAGCTCCCAGAGCCTGGAAGACGTGGGGGAAATCCGCAGAGCCCTCCAGAAGGAGCACGAGAGGCTGTGCACACTGGTGACTCCTGTCTCTGGTTAGTACTGGGGCACTGGGGCCGGGAGGACCAGACTCTCTGATTGCTTGTTGGAGGTGCAGTGGGGGGGTCACATCCCTGTTCCTGGAAATGGTAGAGTTTTGTGGGCTGGAAGGGATGTCCAGGCTCTGGGAGGGAGGTTGTTGACACAGGACTTGCATCCTGGGACATGGATGTGACTGTCCCATTGAGCTGTGGATGTGACCTCCCCGAGCCAGTCTTACACTCATCTTTCCTCCAGAGTTTCAGAAGGCTTCTGCAGGCCCCAACAGCATCTGGACCCCTCAGTACAACCCCTTGTACCCAGGGCACATCCCAGCCCTGGATTATCAGCACAACGTCTACATCCCCGGCACCCCCACTCTGCTGTCCAGCAAGGATGGGCCCCTCTTCCCAGGCAGGGAGAACAAGAACAGCTTCTCCACCTTTGGCAAGAGGAAGAAGATGACGACTTACTGTGACATGCATGACAGTGTGGTTATCAACAACGACCTGAAATAGCCTGGATGGCTCTATCCTGGGAATCTGTCACATTATTTCAGCTGCCAGGTCCACCCTCAGCACACAGTTCCATGTATGGACCACTCAGGATTCTGCAGGGCTGCTGGGAAAGTGGCTCACCAGAGCATGGGGAAAGGATTTAAGGAGCAAGAGACTGAAAATTATAGGGACAAGGGGGGGGGCAGCAGGGGGCATTTCTCCCATCTCATCCTGCAGAGCTGTGTTGGCAGCAGGTGCTGTTTGGGGTCCATATGACCAGATTTAAGCAAATCTGCCTTGAGTTTACCCATTCCCATGTCCCCTTAGGGACTGTCCATCTCTGTAAACATTGTCACTTTGTCTTGTCTGGCTGTGTGAATGTACTGAGCTGCATGCCTGTATCTCTGTCCCAGTAGGCATGGAAAGTGTATGCAGACCAAGCCTGGTTCAGCCAAGCCTGACCCCACGCACTGGGGCAGTGACCATTGCTCTGTCCCTGAGATCCAGTGGGATGTGTTGCATGTCCAGAGCAGCCATTGGTGTCTGTCTTCTCTGGGAAGTGAGTGCAAACCCCAGCCTTTATGGGTGCTTCCCTTCAAACCCTGACCCAAACACTTGCAGGACTGGAGACCCAAAGTCCAGGACACAACCAGAGTCCAGAACAGAGCCAGCCTTTGTTCTGGGAACAGCGTGGGCACACAGGGATTGGGTGGCCAGAAGAGCTGTTAACTTAAGCAGGTGAGAGATGCACACTGCTGGGCAACTCTCTAGCCCAAGGTAACATCACCTGAACGAAAAACAGTTTCCAGCCACTGGAGTGGCCCCAGCACAGGTGATCATCCTCTTCCCTCCTCCCTGCACCCTCACTTGGATCTCTGTTTTCCCCAAGTCTTGAACGCCTGGAGGAGGCCCTGCCCTGGGGACCCTTCATGCCTTGGACAGACCTCTCCCACTGCGCCCTGCTTCTCTTTGAGGACTTTTAACTGGCTGTCAGGGGCCCTCAAGGGCAGGACTCCAGCCCCAGAACAGTCTCTTCCCTGCCTTGCTCTCTGTGCACCTGTCCACCCAGTCTGTCTGTCACCATTGCCAATCGCTCCGGTCACGGGACAGTTCATTTCCAATCCATCTGTGCAGAACATGACAGCTCTTTCTAAACTGAGTTTGTTTCATGATGTCTGATTTGTACCAATAAATTGTATTTTAATAGCTCACCCTGGCTCCTGGCTGTCCCTGAACTGCACATGACAGCAGGGATGGCTGCGCAGCCCTTGGAGCAGCGCTCCCAGCTCCAGGAGATGCGTGTGGCCCTCTGGCCTCCTGAGTTCTGGAGCAGCATTTTATTCACTTATGCCAAAAGCTCATTTTATTCACTTTGCCTGGATTCTGGGGGCTCAAGGCTGCCTTCCCTCCTCCCAGGGATTCAGGAGTACTTTGGGGTCATGGCTGGAAGGAGATGGAATTGTCACACAGCTCCTTGCTCCGTGCTCCAGCTTGGGCAGAGAGGGGTTTGCGCCAAGGCATGGGCATACAGGGCTTTGAGCTGCTGGGGAGAGGGGCTGGATCTGGCACTCTTGTCTCATTGCTATTATTCTGCTTTCTCTGCTTCATTTAGACTTTGCCCTGGATGCTCACCCCACACCAGCTTGCCTCAGGAGCCAGAGATAACCTGGATGTGTGCCAGGCGTAGGGACCGGCTCCCTGGGGATAGGCAGGCCTGTGTCTGGTGGTGGGATTACTCTGGGCTTGATGTGGGAAGCAGTTCACCTTCAGATGAAGTCCTGAGGTGGCCACACCATGACTGTCCTTCTCTTACCCCCTCCTTGCTCAGTGACTGGCTTGGGGAGGCTGCAATGCGGCTTTTGGGATTAACCCAGAAAAGTCCTTGTCTACAAGTGGCCAACTTGCTCTTCAGTGGAAGTGGGGGGCAGGGAGCACTCAAAGGGGCCCCGTGGGAGTCAGGGACCCAGGAGGACAGTGCTTTGGACATGAAAGGGACCTGACTGCTGCTGGTGACTTCAGTCCCAGCTCACATCTGCCTGACTGCGGGTAGATGAAATATTCCCTGTCCCAATTAGACGGTAGGATGAAGGATTTTATGCTGCCAAGTGCATTCTTCAAGGGTCTCTAGAGAGTGCTAAGGGTAAAAAAGAACCCCAAACAGTCAGTGCCTGAGACCTCTGTACAGCATTAGCCTGTTCCACTGCTTCAAAAGAACAAGGGAATTATGTAAAGTGATACAATAAGATTAATAACAGCCTCAAGAAGTAATAAAAGCATCAAATGGACCTGACTCCCTGAGGGGCAGAGAGCATCTCCCCCTCTCCCCGGATTAGCTCTGGCAGTATCTTCCCTGCATTTGTAGGTGGTGCTGGTCAGGCACTGGGAGAGGACTGCAGCCCCTCTGCAGTGAGCCCGTGGGGGCTCAGCCACAGCCCCTCTGCAGCAGGGCCAAGGCATTTGCTGTGTTCCAGCTCACAAAGCAAAAGCACCCAGCACACCCAGTGCCTCATGGCATCCAGGATCAAAACAAACTCATGGAGACAGTGTTTTGTGCCAGGTTCCCAAGTGTGGCTTCCCAAAGGGAAATGGAGCTCAGAACTGACCCCCCCAAACCACAGGCATTTGAAAGCGACACTTTGCATCTCTGTTTCTGGAAAATCATGGGGTTGAACAACCAAGGGGACAGGTTTTGCCACCTCCCTGTGCGTGTGTCACTCTCCAGTGTATTTTCTCGGCTTTTTTTAACCCCCACTACCGAGCTTCAACTGTAAATTGCCTCCCCCTCCTCTCCATTACTCCTGACCATCCTCTCAGCCCATGGGATGAGCTGGATAAACACACACACACACATCTGTGCCTCTTGCTGACCCCCAGGTCTGCGTATTCAGGTCAGGTCTCTTCCAAAAGGGATTTGAGCTGAACAGTGCCCAGCTCAGGCCCCAACACCCCACGTTCCCTGAGGATCCCCTTTTGCTTAGTTGAAGGAAAACCTGCACTGACAAGAGCTCAGTTTCAATCTTTCATTTCAATCACCATATTGACAAAAAGGACAATAAAAAGGGACTTGCTTCAGGGGAGAGAGCACTTGCATAAATCTAATTCAACCACACTACTATCCCTCTTCAAAGGGCATGTCTGGTCAGAATCGTCCATCTAATAGATGAGATCTCCTTTGAAGATCTCCCACGGGGACAGGGTCTCATTAAAAATGCAAGGTCTTTGCCCTACAACTAGTTATTTTTACAACTCTCCGTGTGCTTACACTCCTGCACAGCTGATGAGCATTAGCTGGTTTCTGGAGCCTGGTAATGCACTGGGCACGAGAGCCCCACTGGAGATCTGCACAGCAGAACGCTCGCTGTATACCCCTCTCATACATTCCAGCTCTCTCGGAGATCCAGAGGCAAATTTGGCTTTCAGGGGCCTGCCAGCCAGCTTGAGATTTGCTTCTAGGACAGCGGGAAAGCTGCCATGTGGTGCAGTTGGCTGCAAAATGCTTCAGGCCATGGGAGGCAGGCACACAGTGCTTCTGGGCACCAGCACAAAACTGGCTGTTGCTGAATAGACTGCTTGGATGGAAACGTTACTTATATCTCTGTAATGGCTTGAAAATGGATCCCAAAGAGACAAAATGAATCCAGAGGTAGAGAGAAAAGAGGCCAGAGGGAAAGACCCAGAGGGGCTGATGCTCAGCTCTACTCCTGTCTGCCACGCACAGAGCCAAGGAGCAGCCAGTGAATCTCCCAGGAAACCTTAGCAGGGACACAGCACTCTGAATGCAGTTGGGTCAGGCTGGGAAAAGCCATGGATACAGGTGGTCTGAGATCCCAGAAGGCTCAGTATCAGCAGGACAGAGCTAAAATCCACAGGGATCAGTGCGTGGACCTCGGAGGGTTTTGCATCTAGCCCAGTCTGTGGCACTCAGTGGTTGATTACACCCTCCAAAGATGCTAGAAATTCCTTCTCTTCTCTTCTCTTCTCTTCTCTTCTCACCTGAAGATGATGCTGGAACAAACACACCTTAATTTAGCCAAGACTGGGTCAAAGTCCATTTTGATTTCTTTTCAAACTGTCTCAGTGTCTTAAATATCTCCCTGCACTCACCAC